TGTCAAAGTCAACTTTATTGCAGTCTACAACTGAGATGAACATCTGCAAAATATTAAATTATAGATTAATAGTCACCATCCAGATTTATAAATTTTTCCCAGTGTTTCTTGACCCTCTGAATACCTGATATTGTAGAAGTCTGCAGATTGCATCTTATGACGGGCTATCATAAGGTAATAACTATCACCTGGAAGTTATTATGGTTTTTGTTGTTAACTGCCTTCGCATCAATCTCGACCTATGGCAACCCTATGGATGAGACACCTCCAGGCTCATGAGATCCCTGTACTCTTCTCCAGCACCACATCTCAAATGCGCTGATTTTCCTCCTATCATCTTTCTTAACTGTCCAGATCTCACATCCATACATGGTAATAATAGGGAATACAATGGCTTGTATGATTCTAATTTTTGTGCTGAGTTGTATGTCTTTGCATTTTAGGATCTTTTCTAGTTCTTTCATAGCCACCCTCCTCATTCTTAATTTTCTCCTGATTTCCTGGCTGCAGTCCCCGTTCTGATCAATATTTGATCCCAGGTATGAGAACTCTTTTACTATTTCTATTTCCTCATTGTCTAGTTTGGATGGGTGTAAGTTCTCTGTGGTCATTATTTTCGTTTTCTTTATGTTCAACAGTACACCTGCCTTTGCACTTTCTTCTTTGATCTTCCTTAGTAGTTCCAGGTCTGTGAGGTTTTCTGCTAGTACTATGGTGTCCTCAGCATATCTCAGATTGTTGATATTTCTTCCTCCTATTTTCACTCCTCCCTCTTCCATGTCCAAGCCTACTTTCCTTACAATATGTTCTGCATATAAATTGAATAGGTAGGGTGATAGGATGCAGTCTTGTCTGACTCCTTTGCCAATTGGGAACCATTCTGTTTCTCCATGTTCTGTTCTGACAGTAGCCTATTGTAGCCTCCTGAGTACAGATTCCTCATTAGGACTATCAGATGTATTGTCACTCCCATGTCTTTAAGTGTGTTCCATAGCCTTTCATGATCTATGCAGTCAAAGACTTTGCTGTAGTCTATAAATCACATGTTGATTTTCTTTTGGAATTCCCTAGTGCACTCCATTAGCCATCGTATGTTTGCAATGTGATCCCTGGTGCCTCTTCCTTTCTTGAACCCTGCTTGGACCTCTGGGATTTCTCTCTCCATGTACGGTTGTAGTCTATTATGGACGTTATCACACGGGGCCCAATCGAAACAAATCCACATGAAACCCCAAACGATACCGGATTATTGGCCCGTGTTTTCACATGACATCGCACAGAACCCTGACAGAAAGTGGAAAGATCTGAGATCTTTTGAATTTCGGTTTCTTCAGGAAATGCAATTGCGCGATGAGGGTGATTCCGCATTTACCGCAAATGTGATCGCCAAATATGTATTGGGGAGCATTTCCCTGTCATTACCCATGGTTCCCGCGAGCATTACTCTATCTGCGCATGTGCAAGAGGCTCATTTCTACTACATTTACGGGATATTTTCGCTTGTGTGTGGATGTTCATTGCACTTGCTGTAAATTCGCAATGAAGGTAATGACGTTTGCGGAAACAAGTTTATTTTCAGTTTATTTTCGGAATGCCTCATTTCCACTTTTATTTTCGCTTTCTGGCCCATGTGTGATAACGTCCTATGTTGCAGAATTTTGAGCATGGTTTTGCTTGCATGGGAGATCAGAGCTATGGTCCTATAGTCACTGCAGTCTCTTGTGTCTCCCTTTTTGTGGATGGGGATGTATATTGATTGCTTCCAATCTGTTGGCCATTATTTCGTTTTCCATATCTGTTGACATATGTTGGTTTAGCACTAGAGTTGACTCTCAGTGTGGATTGCAGCAATTCAATTGGAATATCATCTGTTCTTGGTGATATGTTTGTCGCTATTTCTCTTATTGCAGTTTCCACTTCACTTTTTAGAAATTGGGGTTCATTTTCATATGGCTCTTTATTCCATGTAGCCTTCATTTTGTCATCTCTTTTGTATAATTCTTCTGTGTATTGCATCCAATGTCTTTTTATTCCTTCCTGGTCTTGAATTATGGTTTATTGATGAAATTTTGTCAGTGTCATCATTGGTCCATAAGTGTATGATGTTGAGAAAACCAGCTCATTGTGTCCTTTATTTTTGTGACAGGTTGTGCCAGAAGTGACTAAAGTGTAAAATCCTCATAAGGAGCAATCTGCAGACTTCTACAATAACGGTATTAGGAAGATCAAGAAACGCTGGGGGAAATGTGTAAATCTGGTTGGTTACTATGTAGAGATAAGTTAACATCTACAAATCAAAACAAACTTTCTGTCAAAAATTTATAAAGGTGATAATTAAAACTTTACGATATCCCCTCGTATCCACCACATTTTTCAGAAGGCAAAGTGTAGAGAGAAGAGCCAGTGTAGTGTTAGAGTCCAATGGTTCACAAGCTTTGGTCCTCCAGATGTTTTAAATTTCAGAGCCCAGAAGGCCTGACTGTTGGCCAGACTGGATGGGGCTTCTGGGAGTAGAAGTCTGAAACAACTGGAGAACCAAAGTTTGGGAATTACTAAACTCCCTGGCTTGGGATATCTAATTTCAAGTCCCCATTGGGTCATGAAACCCCCTGGATGCCCTTGGGCAGGTCACCTTTTCTCTTAGCCTGAATTACCTCAAGAGATGTGAGAATGCAATGTGGGGAGGCAATGATCTGCAACCACCCATTCCATTCTTTGGGGAATGTATTTGTAGATATTTATTTGATCTGGGGCTCATATCAAACTTTTTTTTAAGGGAGCATAGTGGTGCAATGGTTTGAGCATTGTACTGTGACCCTAGAGACCAGGGTTTGATTCCCAGTTCACCAATGAAACCCACTGGGTGACCTTGGCCAAGTCACACTCTCTCAGCCTCAGGGGAAGGCAGTGACAAACCTCCTCTGAACAAATCTTGTCAAGAAAACACCATGATAGCCTTAGGGTTGCCATAATTTGGAAACAACTTAAAGTCGAGCGGCAACAACAATGCTTGGAGCACACCCATAGAAAAGGGCAGACACACAGGTGGACAGGCAAACCTTTTCTGAACAAATCTTGCCAAGAAATCCCCGGGATAGGGTCGCCTTCAGTCAGAAATGACTTGAAGGCACACAACATACATAGGGAGATTGGGTGCTGGCCAGGCTTCACACTTCTTGTTTCCACCTTGGACAAATCACACTCTCTCAGCCTCAAGTGAAGGAAGGCAGTGGCAACCCTTCTCTGAACAAATCTAAAGCAATCAGGCTTGCTTTAAGGTTGCCATAAGTCAGAAGCAATTTAAAGGCACATGACACAAACAAATGGTGGTGTTCATTGGTTTTTGTGGATTTTTCGGGCTGTGAGGACGTGTTCCAGAAGAATATATTCCTGACGTTTCGTCTGCATCTGTGTCTGACATCTTCAGAGATATTCTCTGAAGATGCCAGCCACAGATGCAGGCGAAACGTCAGGAATATATTCTTCAAGAACTTGGTCTCACAGCCTGAAAAACCCACAAAAACCTATGGATGCCAGCCGTGAAAGCCTTCGACTTCACGATGCTGTTCATTGTTTGATATGAACTAGTAAACTATTTTCCTCCTTAGAATCTGTGCTAAATTCTATTCCTACTACTATTTCTGTGTTTGTGTGTTTCAGCAGCCATCCCAGCTTTCCCTCCTCTTTGCCTCCACTTTACTTTAGGTTTAAATGATGACTCAGAGAACAATGCAGTTTAAAACCAGATCCCTACGCAGTCCCTTCTGCTTTATATGCTGTGCCATCTCCTCTTTGGTTAAGAAAGTGACTTGAGGCATAATTAGGAATAATGATGCCTTTGTTCACCAATAATTGACTCGAACATGCATTTAGTCAGATATTAGCAAGACTCTATAGTGTCTGGGAAGAACATTTTGTTTCTGCAGCCCATTAGCATTATCTGGAAATCTCTCAGTCTATGTGCCCATTTTCCTCCTGCAACTCTGCATCATGACTGCCCTTCTGGATCTTCTTGATCTTCATGATGTTAAGAGGCAGGGACTTGGACTAGTAACCAGTTCTCCTTTGGGCCCAGGCTTAGCACCATAGGAACCATGTCTGCCTAGTGAAAGGGTGGGCAAATGCATTCCCAAATGTCCATAGAAACCAAGAACGGTGGAACTAGAAGGTACCCCATGTGTTATCTAGTCTAGCCCCCTGCATCCCCAGCATAGTGAGCGGAGAGGCATGCTGGGAGTTGCAGTCCAACCACCTTCAAAGGTGGGGTTGTGGCTATCATTGTTTGTAGAATCATAGGACTTTATCACACGGGGAAAAGTGGAAATTTAAATGGTAGTTATCCTGTGAAAATCGTGCATTTGCGATTAAGATTTTCACACAACATTGCGATTAAAGCATCATTATCCTGGGAAAATCACATGAAAAACATGCATTTGTGATTAAGATTTTCATGCACGTCATGATTAAAGCACCATTATCCCGGGAATATTCCATGAAAATCATGCATTCGCAATTATGATTTTCATATGAGTCACAATTAAAACACCATTATCCCAGGAATATCCCATGAAAACCACACATTCGCGATAAAGGTTTTTACATGACATTGCGATTAAAGTGCCATTATCCCAGGAATAACCAGGCAATAAACAGCAAGAAATCATTCACGGGGAAAACCTGTGAATGATTTCTTGCTGTTTATTGCCTGATTATTCCCTGGTTATTCCTGGGATAATGACTTTTTACTTGTGCTACGTGTGAAAATCTTAATTGCGATTGCACAATTTTCACAGGATAATCACCATTTAAACTCCCAATTTTTCTCCATGTGATAAAATCCTTAGAATCAGTGTGCATTCAAATCATTTCTGATTTACGGTGACTGTAAGGTGAACCCATCACAGAGTTTTTTGGGCAAGATTTGTTCAGAGGGGGGTTGTCATTGCTATCCTCTGAGGCTGAGAGAGTGTGACTTGCCCAAGATTATTCAGTGGGTTTCATGCCAAAACAGGGATTCAAACCCCGGTCTCCAGAGTTGTAGTCCAACACTCAAACCACTATAGCTATTGAAGAGGGGCAAAATGCAGAGTTTGTCCCTCCAAGTAAGAATTCTGTTCTCCAATGAATTTTTCCTTCAGTCCCCAAATTTCTAGCATTGTGGAGCCAGTATGGTGTGTGGTTTGAGTGCTGAATTATGACTCTAGAGACCAGGGTTCAATTCCCAGCTCTGCCATGGAAACCCATTGGGTGAACTTGAGCAAGTCACACTCTCTCAGCCTTAGGGGAAGGCAATGGCAAACTTCCATTGAACAAATCTTGCCAAGAAAATCCCATGATAGGTCGCCATAGGGCAGGGTGACCAGACTTCCTCCTTTTCTAGGACATGTCCTAAATTTCAACCTTCTGTCCAGGAGGAATTTCAAATAACCCTCCTGGACAGAAGCCCTTTAAACTTGCTGCTTCAGGTAGAACCTACTCTCCATGGGTCTGGAAACCATGGGAAGCAACTTAAGAAACTGGGTATGTTTAGCTAGTAGGGACGTTATCACACGTGGGCCAGAAAGTGGAAATGAGGCATTCCGAAA